GGCCTGTGCTCTGGTTTATTAGTGACCACAAGCACTCTTTTCTGTCCTGGAACTGTAACAAGGGTTTCTCTCCACAACCACTACAAGCTCCACCACACCAGTGCTCCTCCTCGCCCCAGGACTGCTGCCCAAAACCATGACCCAGATCAAGCAAGGGCAAAGCAAGAGATTCCTTCCTCAACACTGGCAAAGAGATCCCTGCAGTCCCTCTCTGATCAGCCACTTGATTCCCTCTCAGTCTGTGGGCCAGAAGCTCAGGAGGCAGCCACTACCCCCGGGCTGCGCTCTCAGGGAACTGGATCTGAGACCCTGCGCTCCTCTCTCAGCACCACAGAAACAGACTTTTCCCATTGACCTTCTCAGTTGTCTTGGGTGTTCCTGGGTTGAGAAGTCTGGAAACCTCCACAGCTGCCTGCAATTCAGTCCTCTGAGGCCTGCTCCAGGTTCGCTGTGGCCTGCATACCCATGTCGCACCATGCTCCTCTACCAAACCCAGTGCGATATACCTTTCTGATCAACCACCCAGGTTGTCTTGGGCTGGAAATTTGCTTCACTCTGTCTTTTTGTGGGTTCTGCTGCTTTAGAATTTGTTTAGAGCCGTTTTTTACAGGTATTTCGAGGGGTTTGGGGGAGAGCTCAAGCAAGTCACTGCTTTCACTCTGCCCCCTTGGTTCTGCCCCTCTTATATATTCTTAAGGACAATTCTTATATATTCTTATATAATTCTTATATATTCTTAAGGACAATTTTGTTGCTATTTACTGAAGAAAGACCAAGAAGTAAAAAGTTTATTGGCATTATTAATAAATGAATAATTTGATTATTTAGTATATAATAATATATAGTACATAGTAATATAAGTATATAATACTATATAATATAATAATGAATAGTACATAGTAATAATAAATTAATGAATCACAGGGGCCAAATAGGGACAAATCTAGTAATTTTTTAAAAAGTCCTCTATTCTACCATTTACTTTCAAGAGTCAAGTGGGTCTGTGGGAGATCAAGGATGATGTCATGAAGAAGTTAATAAATTCACTCAGAGGTCACCAAGAGGTCACTGGAACTTCTTGGTTGCTTCAGTCAAGTTGGTTTTCATACTGCCCTCTCAAAACGTACTCATTCCCACCTCTGCACGTTTGCTCAAACTGTTCCTTTTCTTGTCTTTCTTGCTCTCTCATTCTGCAATTACAAAACGCCCTACAGAATAATCTCCACCAATCAAAATCCTACACGTCTTCTCAATGCCCAATACTAGACCAACTTTTGGAGGATGTCTTCCTGGATTAATCCTATCCAACAAAGCTGTTTCCCTTACTCTGAACTCTTAAAACACATAAATTGTATCACAAACCAAATGCTTGATTAGACATCAACTTGCATTTATTTCCTGTTGTTGTTCTTTGTATTCCCAACAAGATGAAGGGGGAGATAAGGACTATGTTCTACTTTTTGCAAGGAGGGAGGGTGTTTCCCATCCATCATTTCTTCCATGTTTGGGGTGAGTGGAAGCATGAAATGAGTGGTGGATAAGTACATGACTAGCTTCCTGCTCCAAGATATGGGAGGTAGAGAAAGGGCTTCAGGTGGTACCCAAGCTGCTTTGCCCTCTGCTTTTGGTTGCCATGATTTGATGATCAACTCTTTAGATTGTCTCTGGTCAGCCATTCCTCTTGGCTCAAACAATCCTGGAGGATACGCTGCCTTACTCTGTTGGTCTCTCAGGGCCTCTGATTCTCCCATAGCTATTCCCTGCATTCTTTGTGGAAGTCAATTCAAGGACAAGACCAAGACCTGTGGATCCTGGGAACCTCTCAATTGCTTCCCCTTTTCTCTCTCCACACAGTACCTAGTACTTCTGAGCATAAAGTAGATACTTCAGAATGATGATTGAATTTGAGGGGATTTTATTGGTGACATGCATGTTTCCCTAAGATCACACAGAAGCTATTAATTGTGTAGAGGACTATTAGATGGCCTCTGAAGGGTCACAAGTCTATTTTCTGTCATGAATTTTTTGATTACTTATCATAGAGTAAGATAGAGTCAGTTGCAGAGAACCCACACAGTCTGAATGTAGCAAGATGAGAGAGACAGACAGAGATAAGGAGACAGAGACAGAGATGAAAGCACAGGTTTCAGAATTATGCTAAAGAGAGTCAGATCCATAACAGTTTCAAAGAACTCCTGATAAAAAATACCATTCACCTCCAGATAGAGATCTGATGGATACTGAATAAAAACTGAAGAATGTTTCTTATCTTTTCTCTTCAACACATATGTATGATAGGTATCACATTTCTTTCCTTCTCAGTGGTTGGGGGGAGAGAATTTGGAACAATAAAAAAATTAAAGACAAAATAAATAAAAATGAGAGAGAGAGAGAGAGAGAGAGAGAGAGAGAGATTCCCTGACAGGTTTTTATAAATATGTGCCCACTCTCCCCAATAGATACTGAGTACTTTGATGGGAAAGTGAGTAGCAGGTGTATGTGTGGATTGTACTGTATATATTATTATTAAGTTTGATTTAATATAAATGTTCCTGTGATATTGTTCCTATTTCTTTTGCTTATTGCTAAATAAATAATTAAGTTTAAGATCTAAATGTATAATTAATATGAGTGGCTGGTTTTGTGTAAATGTAAACACATTGGTTGGGGCTCAAGACCTAAAGTAGTGAGTAGAATGAGTATATTTCTCTCTGTCTCTCTTCAAAACAGAATTACTTCTAGGACCTAAGAGAGTTTGACTATAACCTTGTGGTGGTGATATTTCTCTGGGAACCTAGACCTGCCTGTGTGACCCAGTCAAGAGACCTGACCTTAGTATTGTGTCCAATATGGGAAGTATGAGGCCCTGAATTGTAGGTAGCACGCATTATACTATATTATATATATATATGCATATATACAAAACAAGGTGGCAAAAACAAAAAATTTAAGCAAGAGGTTTGTGGGAGCGTGGCAAAAAAAGGGATTAGGGCAGATGGCTATAGTTTGCGTCATATGCATATGGAAGTTGAATAAATATATGGCAGAAATGGAAACTGACCTAACCACAGCTATATGGGAAACTGGACCAATCCAGCAATCCCTAGGCATTTTCATTGTGGCTCTGCCAGGCAGCTTATCTTTTTTTGGCCCCCACCACAATCTTGTTCCTTTGTGGCCATCATAGGCATTCACCTATAACTTTACTGCATGCATGGTAGAATCTTATTTTCCTGGTCTATGGGATAGAAGTTGTCTATTTAAATAGTCTTAGGTCAAGTTTAGATAGTCAACCAAGCCTTAAAATATCATTTGTGTAAGTCTGGAAATATCAGGTAATACAAATGTGTGGCTAAATAGTAATTTCACCTTTTGGGGTCTTTGTTTCCTCATTTGCAAAAATGCGGAAATTAGACTAGATGAACTCTAAAGCCCTTTCCCACTCTAACACTATAGAAAGTTTTATGGATCCTGATACCCAAAGGACTCAAAGGGAAGTAATTTTCCCCTCTAGGTGACAGATTAGACACTGTTCTCTTTCTCTCCTACTTTCCTCAGACCCAAAGATTTCAAAGGGTTTCAGAAGTAAATGTGTGAAATCAGACATCAGGGAAAGTTGTCCAGCTCAGAAAGCTTGTTGACCATAGGTCTTCAGCATACTCTCACCCTGGAAATAGAGGGAAAATATATCCCCGAAGATATCTCCTGGCATTTAGGTAGTAATTACCATTAATCTTCTATAACATTTTGTATTTTAGTTGGGTTTGTATTGCATTCCCCTCTGGGAGAGTGTGGACCATGCTGTAATTCTTGTATCACTTTCAGCATTTGGGATAGTGCTCTGGACACAGTTGGGATTAATTCTTTATTGAATAAGCATTTTGAATGGATTTTTTAAAAAAGTAGCTTGACCTCAGGCACCCAAGTACTTGCCTATTCATTCTGTTACCTTCATGGAGAAAGTTTCAAATGGGATGGAGTGATAATGACTGTGACTTTTGGGTGGGAACATAGTTATTCCTGAATATGGAGGCCACAAGAGGCAGTCAGGCATTGAGTGTTGGCTTCTTAGAGGCCAATGAGGAAGTGCAGTGAATAGAGCATGGGGCCACAAGTCAGGAAGACCTGAATTTAAATCTGGCCTCAGACAGTCACTAGCTGCGTGACCTTGGGCAAGTCACTTCACCGCTGTCTACCTTAGTTTCCTCATCTGGAAGATAGGGATAAAAACAGCACCTGTGTCCTAGGGCTGTTGTGAAGATCAAATGAGATCATAGAAAGTGCTTAGCACATAGTAGGAGCATAAAAAATACTTGTTTCTTTCCTTCCTTACCAAACTCATATTTCCCCCATTCCAGTATAGCCAACTTAGAACTGCTAAGATAATTTTTCTCAAATGCTGTTGTTTTGCTGCGCTACTTCAATCTTGACCAAGATCATACACTGGTTCACTATTTTCTACTAGATGGAATATTAACTCCAAAGTCTGATATTCAAGGCCCCCATTACTTCCACAGCTTCATCTCTTAGTAGTTCTTATTAGAGCCCCTCCTTCTCGATTAGTTAGATCTTCTTAACTTCTCCTGCCTAGTCTTTGCTTGTGTCTCCATGGTTTTCCTTGTGTTGTTCTCCTTGACTGGAATGCCTTACTGATTCATCTCTGCCAATTTATGCCCATTGCTCTACTAAAACTCACTTCTTCCAAGAAACTTTCCCTGACCTGACCCCACACAGATAATTTCCTTGCTTTTAAGCCCTCAACACTACCAGTTCACACATTATCTTTAACCTGCTTGAGTGTTTCGTTGTAATTTATTGCATATTTATCTTGTCTTTCCAAATAAACTGTAAGCCCCTTGAAGGCACAAGATATGTTTTATACTCCCTCTGTCTTCCCCATAGTATGAGTATAGTGCCGTGCACGTGTATGTGAATGTTGGACAACTGGCTAAAAGACAAAAAATTCCCATCACATAAAGAAGACACGATTGCAAACCAGGGAAAGAGGTTTTTTTTTTTAATTACTCCTTCATATTCAAACTTCACAAACAGTGTGAACTTGTACAATACCTCGGAAAGTGAAACTTACAAAAAAAGTGCTGGTAACATTTAAAAAAAAACAACAAAAAAACCCAAAAAAACAAACATCATTCTTAGCAACATCAATTACTCTTCCACACAAAACAGAAACCTTGTAAAATTTATTTCCGTATTTTTAAGGCGTAATACTTCCGTATAAAGTATATGCAAGAGATAAAACTTCACAGTATTCCAAAATGTCACAATAATAATAATAATATAATAGTATAATGAAGCGCTACAGTTAATTTTTCTTTTTTTTGACTTTTTTTCCTGTTTAAATAACAAATACAAGTCACAGGTAAATATATGTGAGAAAAATACGAGGCTAATATTAAATGGCAGGTAAGGATACTGTCACTGTAAGAAAAAACTGGCAGGATGTGTGTATTTATTCTATATTTTAAAGCACTTGATAGAAAAGGCGTATGCAAGGTTTTTTTAAAAAAAAATTTGCTGTTTGTTTGTTTGTTTTGATAACTGACAACCATTTAAGAGTATAATGAGAGAAAAAAAGGAACAAACTCCCCCTCAAAACTATTGACCTTCTCATCCCAAACCACGTACATATTTATGGATGGATGTGTGTGTTGTTTGTGTACATGTGTATGTACCTACACCAGTACATGGACTGGAAAAAGCAGTCTTCCTTCCCTTCCTTCCCTTCTCTTGACTGGACATAATGACCTGAGAAGGCCATTGAAGTTCATTTCAAAAGCTCTTGGGGCTAAAGCTCTCTCTTGATTCTTCTCCAAAAGTCAATTCCATCTCCTGCCTGAAAAGACAGAAGCTGGTCAGAATAATTGCCCTCAGTTCGAAAAATGCTCTGGGAATGGAAACTGCAGAAACACTGATAGCCACATGGACACTGAATATACCACTGGGATGTGTATGTGAAGGTGGATGGGCGCAAAACAATTTTCTGTTTTGCACAAGACATACAAATGGGTCTCAGTGTACATAATGGGGTGGTGTGTGTGTGTGTGTGTGTGTGTGTGTGTGTGTGTATGTGTGTACGGTAGCAATTGCTAAAAAAGGGACCATATTCCTTTCCATAATAAGATACAGTGTGATAAGAAACATTTCTGTGCAAGGAATGGGGTTTCTCCGAATCCTATCACAATGCAGTGGTGGGGAAAATCAGGAAACAGGTTCACCTTTCAGCAGTTACCACAGTAAACTTCATGATGGACACACATGCCCGGCCCTTTGGCCGAGCATGTATATGTAAAGAGCCAGCCACTCAGCCAACAGGTAACAGAAAGACAGCAGATAGCATAACACGTCAGTAAGGTGCTCAAAGAAAAATGTGGCACCCACTCCTGGAATGGATGGCCACGTTAAGGTGCTTCAAAAAGTATTTTTTTTTCACTTTTCATTTCAAACATTAAAAGAGTATTGGGCTGCACGTGGTAGTTCTGAGCCAGGCCAAGAGTTTTGAGATTTCTGACATCTTCCATAGATAACGGCTTTCACTGTAGTTGGTTTTTTTGTTTGTTGTGGTTCATCTAGGTTAACCTTTCATTTTTTTCACTTTAAATAACCATTTTTAAAAAATGAAAGCAAAAATGACAGAATGAGAACTGATGAAATGGTGTAGAACTTTACTGCATTCCCATTGGACCAAGATGGTTTCGCCCATTCTTTCCATAATGCTGTTCCTTTTTTTTTTCCTTTTTTCCATTACAATCCATTCCTTGTGAACATACAGAAATGACCAAAGTCACTGCAAGCGGCTGTTTTTTTTTTTTGTGATCTGTTTCAAGAGTCCAACCTCGTTTCCTCTACTGCTGTTTGTGTAGTATCTGGGTCTGAAATGTGCATACAGACATATATATGCACGAATAAAACACGTATGTATGTGCAACATATACACACTATATATGTGGGCCTATAGAGGAAGTGTGTACATATTTATACATAATATAGTGTATATATTGTTTGAACTGGAGATAAACTGAACTGGGTTCAGACATGAGCACTCATTTCTCTTCTCTTTCCCTCCCCTTCCCTGTCACCTGTGTATTTTAAACAGTCTGGAGTTTTTCATTTTTGTTTGTTTGTTTAAAGTGCATTGAACACAAAATAACTGGAATCTACCGATCCCTTAGAAAACATTTTGGGTGTGAAGTTCTGCTGGGCATAAGCCCCAAGCATGAGAGGCTTGTGTTTTCCAATGCCAATGGCACAGATGGCAGTGTCAGGCTTGTGCCCCGGGGGCGGGCTGTCCTTGGGCAATCTGGACTCCTTGAACCTAGCAGCACCTTTGCAGAAAGACTGAGAAAGGAGGGAAGAGAGTACAAGTGAAGAAAGGGTGATTTTTTCTTGTAGGTTTCTGTTTAGGAAGCTTAGTTTTTATTTTGAAAATGGGTGTACATTCTCCTTTCAGCTCCTCCACCTTCCCTGGCTGACGCCATCCTCCCTATGACCCTGCACACGCTCCGTTCCTCACATGCTTTTTCTGGAGGCTTTCTGCATGTTCCTTTCCCATGTCTACATGAGTGCCAGCATCTGTGAGGAATAAGGCACCAGAGAAATCAAAATGTTACAAAAAGATGCAAAACCCCATTTCATGGAGCCGTTCTTATATTGCATTGATACTATTGTGTGTGTATGTGTGTGTGTGTGTATTTTAAATGTGTCAAATGCAGCCTCCAAAAGGAAACTGAGGTCCTTCAGCACCAAAGACCATTAGAAGTGTACCCTATATGCAGATACAAGCACAGACACACACACACCCCACAATGCACCACTCAGGGAATACGTGGCTGCTTGCCACTGCTCCCCTTTCGTTGTTTTTTTTTTCCTTGAAAATTCTATGATTCTCTGAAACTGAAATTTCAAAACTACCTCTAAGGCTGGCATGTTATTTGTTCACTGGTGACCAGAAATGCCCAAAGGGACTGAATTATTTGTTGTGTATGGTCAAAAGAATGTGGCTCATAATTTCTTCTTCCACCTTTGAAGCTAAAGATGGGCAGAGATAGGATTTTGTTTTGCACCAACATATTAATTATCAAGAGACAGTATTTCTGGGTCTACAGATTGCTGGGATGGATTAGAAAAGCTAAAGTTAAGATTCTAAAGGTAAGTAACTGTATGTATGTGCCGTGGAAACAGAGGGAGAGGGAAGAATAAGTCTGCTTTACATAGGAGTGAGTGTTCCATCACTTCCCTTTCCACTATAGCAGGGGAAACTTGGAAATTAGAGGGAATCAGGTGGTTCTCCCTGTGAATAATGCTGAGATCAACATTTTAACTTATTGTCTAGGACATCTCTACACCTTTTCAGTTCTAGGACAGTCTTAATGTCAGGCCAGTTTTCACAAAGAAGAAAACCATCCATCTTCCCTGAATTACTAACATCAGTTATTAACTGGACACCTTGCCTTCAACACATGGACTCTAACCCCATAATTCAAAGAAAGAAAGTGCAATGACACTTGGCTAAAGTTATGTCAAGTAGATAAGAAAATCTGACAGATGCAGAAGGTAAAAATGGACTGATTTATATCAGGGGGAGCAACTCATTAAGATGAATTTGATTCCCAAACTAAGAGCCTAAAAAAAATTATTGCAACCTTTTTTCATTGGACTACTACAATAGGCAGGCCTTAAAATAGTTAATGCTAGGTGAATAGAAATGTGAAAGGAATAGAAAAAAAACCTCAGCACGGAATAAATTTTTAGATGCTAGGCTGCCGGTTTAGTGGGGTGTAATTGTTTGGATAAGGCCATCTATTTTCATGGAAACTGTCCACAGTGTGATCTCACAATGACCAAAGTTGTACCACAGGGTGCTGTTAAGTGACTCAAGGGAAGGAAGAGAACCAAAAAAAAAAAAAAACCAAACCCAAAAAACCAACCAGGAAAAGCGCAAGGACCTTTGTGTAGAAGAAATGTAGGAGAGAGGTGTCTGTATGTGATGTGTAGGGGAAAGGACTAAATAAAAATCCTTCTCAAATAATCCCAGAGCCTAGGACTAACATCTGAACTGCATCCTCTGTTTTATATATTCAGGGAGGAAGAAGTTAGTCTAGCTATACGAGGAAAAAAAAAAGAAGGCACATGATTTTATTCAGTCCTAAGAGAGGCTCAAGACTATTAAGCAAAAGCATGAGTGGCGTGGTTTTGTGTGTGTGTGTATGTGTGTGTGTGTGTGTGTGTGTGTGTGTGTGTGTGTGTGTATGCACTCACAGGGTTCAGAGTATTGTGAAAAGCGCTCTTTGGAGCAGTCACCCTACTGCAATAGTGAGAAGAGAACAGAAGTGAATATTCAGAAGGAGAAAAAGAAGGAGAGAGGAGAAAACGAAGGCCACTCTTCGGCTTTCTCTCAGTTTGACAGTCTCAAGATTTGGCTGCTTTTGGGTCCAGAATGGAATTGGTTTATCTTAGTCTAGAAAGCGTCCCAGTTAAATATCTCCAGTTTGTTGTGTTACAGTTCTTGATATTCCCTTTTTCTCTTCCCTCCATCCAAATGACTTCTAAAAATATCACAGTTTTACTCTTTTTTGTTTTGAAATTACTTTTTCAAAGTTGAAAAAATATGGAAAAGCTATCAAAAAACAACCTCAAAGCTCTCCACCTTCACAGTGAATAAGTTAACTGACAATCCACAGAGCCAGCCAAAGATCTTACCATCTCTTGGCCTCACCACGTCCATCACCCATCAGAGCAGGCGACCATCCTCCAGAGGGCAATTCCCTTGCCCTTCCCCTCATTCCCCCGATGGTCGTTGTCATCTTTCCATTGTACTGTTCTAGGTCTCCCATCTCAGTCTGTCCCTATCCAAGGAATGTGAGAAATATCAGGAAGAGAGTGGAAGCAAAACCTTCCTGGACAGCAATGACAACTGAAGGTTCTTGGAAATGGTTACAGAGGTGTGAGGCTCATGGATGGCTTCACTGGTGAACTTTTTTTGAGATAGGAAAGTATGGTTTGGGCACTAAGTAACTGAGATTCCATTTACAGACAACTTCATGAGACCTCAACTCTCAGGCCCACCATGTTTTGTGTTGCTCGGATATATTGTTACCTCTCAATAGCTGTAGAATGTCTTTCCCCATTATCTGGTATTCTCTGTGTGGAATGTTGCATGGTAAGGTGGAGAGGTGAGGGTGGATTGTACCAAAAAAAAAAATAGAGCTATGGATAAGAAAATTTCAAAAACAACTTTGCCTTTGGTTTTTTCAACTTTTTTAAAACCATGAAATGTTAAAGCCAAGATCGTGCCTCCCCACCCTCAATCCCTTCCACCCAGTCTGGTGGCTTCTATCTGGACAACTGTTGTATTTCTCTCATTTGGCAAGGCTGAGGTGGGGGGAAGAGAAAAAGGGGTTGCAACAATTAGTTGAAGACACAGGGTGGTAAAATGCTTCCACACTTAAACTCACAGTCCAGTGTTTTTGACATTTCATAAATAGCTTTTTTTTTTTAAAAAAAAGAATAAAACAAGAACAATCCCTTTACTTACTCATCTGAAACAAAATAAACAGCAGTGGGTACAAACTTCTTCTTGTAACAATTACAAAAAACAACAATATAATCCCAACTTTAACACGCATCTTGAATCAGTTTTTTTTTTTAAACCTCAAAACTGCAGCATATCCTTAAGGGCAAACTTTTCGATTAAGTTTTTTTTCTTTTTTTTTTTAAATAATGTCTTCACCAAAAAAACAGTCTTGTACCAATAAAATGCATTCAAAAATAGAAAATATCACACAACAAAAATATGTATCCTTCCTTTCCAAAAAAGATTCTTCACAAAAAAATGTAGAAAAAATCCCAACAATTGTTTTCCTTTCCTAAACATTACCTTTCAGTCTAGGGCACAATTATTTATTGATTTAAATGTCTGTTTTTGCATAAAACATGGAAGATGCAAAACAATTACTGTATCAGGATTGTGAAATTACATCCACTCACACCCCCACCCTTAAAAAGAAAAATCAGCAAACATTAAGCAAACAAAAGCCAACAGGCTAAGAAAAATCTTAGTGTGGTACTGAAATTTTACCTTTCTGGTAGCAATTATAATGACTTTGTTTTTGCTATTTGTTTAAATGGAGTTAACTGGCTCAGTTGGCACCGAGTGACCATAAAGAAAGGAGACCAAAAACGCATGCTTCAGCACTGGCATATACTGAACCAGTGATTATTTTTTTTGATGATGGCTTCCTTCCCATATTAAGGTTTGAAATCACTATCAGTTGCGGATCACTTGTAAGGGAGAAGTAGGAAGCTCAAAAATCAGACAGGACTACAAGGAAGGGAAGGTGTATGTGTACTACTTTCTTGGATATATCAAAATATAAAGGTTAAGTGAAGAGACTCAATGATTCTACCCTTCCCCCTTTCCTCCATCCCAACTAGTTCTGAAGTCAACTGAGCCCAGGCTCTGCTGGTTTTCTTTTCTTTGTTGTGGCTGACAATTGTTTCTTCTTTCTTTTATTTGCTGGTTTTTATTTTCATGGGAGACAGTATTTTGGATGCGTATTCAATACAAAAATGGGGTTTCTCTTAGCTTGTTCTCCTGTTGCTTAGCTGGTTGCTGTTTTTGCAGATCTCATTTTTGTTGTTTTGTTTTGCTTTTCAAACAGTGAAGTGTGTCAAATTTTATTTCCAGTGCATTTAAAAAATTAATAAAAAACATATTTTCCCCCATCCTTCCAAAGGAAATGACTGAAAAAAGTACAATACAATAAAAATCGGGCATTGTCAACAACAACACAACGTGCAACCTCATGAACATCAAAGAAAAACAAAACAAACAAACCAGGATAATAGGATACAAGCGTGAATGTGCTGAACACAATAAAATGTTAACTGATAAGCATTGGTTAAGAAACAGGTAAGGCTACTCTTAGATTTCTAACTTAACATGATTAACCACTGCTTTTCTTGCCTTTTCCTTCAACTCCATCTTTTACTCACTAGATTTTTTTTAATATCTTTAATCTGAAACAAATTTTGTCTTCATATTTTTTGGTCTACAGTAGAATTACATATTAATAAAACAAAATTATATTTAAGTAATAGGTTAGTACAGTATCCATGGGAAAAAAGAGAGATACTACTAAAATAGACATAAAATGTAATCTACTAAAAATAAATGAATATAATAAAAATCATAATCAGGGCAACAGAGTGAACTGAAAGAAAGAGATGCAGAAAAAGATGCTTTTGGATAATACAAACTAAGCCCTAGGACTGCAGCATCCAATAACAATGCATAATTGCTTGGGGTTCAAATGGATCTACCTCCTAATAGCATCATTCCAATTCAACTGGGGAGCATGAGGCAAGGTCATACAAAATGGACAGGCAGTTTGGTCTAGTGAAAGCTTCCAGGTTATCTTAAATGACTGGTCAAGGCCACCTGGGCAAGTATGCAAGAAAACTGGCTGGTCAGACAGAGATGCAGATGGCACCTGTCCCGGTTTTTGGAGGACTTTCCAGTCCACTCCTCAAGAGAAACCAAAGAAATTATTTGGAAAAGCATGCAAGACTACTTACCCTACTTTGGAGTGGAAGTGGGATTAGGGAGGGGGGACTGAAGAGAAAGAAAGAAGCAGACACACTTTTGGCACCCCACCACTCATTTGCTTCAATATGCTGGTTTCCTACTGCCTCTACACATCTTTCACAGTGTCACCTAAAGGACCATCTACCTCTTTTCTGAGCAAAGACGTCAAAAGCATTCATGGAGTTAAAATAAAATACACTGGCAGCAGCTCACTGTTGGACTCCTGAGTTGCTAGACAGCTCAGGGAAGGAATGTCACTTCATGGCATGTCCATGATGCTGCCAACAACTGAGAATAAAAACAGTCACATAGCTTAGGCAATAAGGATAGGTGAAGTCCCTATTGACATTTACTATCCCTGGCTGATGATAGGTTCACCGTGGCCTTTTAGTGTGACCGAGAAGCAACAGTAAAAGAGGACCATAGTGTGTTTCTCTTTCTAGGAAAGAAGGGGAAAAAAATCAGTGGCATCAGTTATCAATACTCCTTTTGGCTTCTTATTCTTACATCAAATTACCCTTGGTTTTTCTCTCATTCACTTACTCTAGGGGGTAACACATATTAGATTCTAGTGCAAATGTCATCTAATCACAGCTTTCCAGAAGCAGTAGACTACATCCTCATCTAGCGTGAGGCCATCCTCTCAAACCTCCATAAAGAACAGGAGCTAACAGTCCATGTTAGTATAAGCAAACAAAGTTACAATTCTAGCATTCACCACAACAGGAAAGGCACTATCACAGCAGATCCATAATCATCCTCCAAGAACTTTTGATGCCACAGAAAAGGACATTTTTAACCCCTCCCCCAAAATAATGGAAATTTAAAAAAAAAACAACAAACCAATAGACTTAACATGATTGGTTCCATGAGTAAATGAACTCAGTGGCCAATAGAATATTTGACTACTATTACCCCCTCTCCCACTGGCAATTGCTGCTAACAATACAGACCAATAACCTTGACTGTACTTGCTCATGCTCATTTTCATGACTTCCAACACAACTAAACTTGCCCTTTTTCATGGAAATAACCATACGTCTCTAGCTAATGCCTCTGTTGGAAGAGGAGAGTTTGTGGGGATGTTCCTTTGTTACCATTGTTTTTCTTCTGACCTGTCTAGAAAGTCAAGAAGGCAGTTCAGTGGCTCCTCGGATTAAAATTTTTTTCTTAATGACAGTGGGTACAGGATGAAAAGTGAAGTGCGATTTCTTGACTACCAAAACACATCTTTTGAACCTATCACATTAAGATTCTTTGAAAAAATTATTTTTGGCTTGGCCTATGGAAATTCAGATATTTGGTGATAGAAAGCTGTGCATTGTAGAACTGGAACAGATAAACACCAGCTATGGAAGAAGCGGTTTTCCAAAAGCCTCAAGTAGGCTAAGACAACTAATGTGTATAGACAAAAAAAGGTCAGTTTATTTCTTTCTACAACTTTTTTCTCACCACCCTTAAAGCTCACCCAACAGAGTTTTTCTGTGTGCCTGTTAAGAGTACAGATTTTTAGGGTTCCTAACATGAACTAGAGATAAGCCTAAAGCTTAGAGTATTTAGCTTAGCTTTTACATTATCTTCTGAAGGGATATTCCCTTCTCTGTTTTCTTTGTGTGTGTGTGAAATACCTACAAGACTAGAAAAATTCACAATCTTTTTTTTTTCTGCAGAGGGTAATAGACATGGATATATCAGAGGAAGGAGGGAGGGACTAGAACCAATTTCTGCAATTTGAGGAAAGAGAGGCCATACTAGAGAAAGGTTCCCAGTTAGAATCCTTCAACAAAGAACATTTTTCAGAATAGTTCAACAGAGCCTTTTAAACATTCTCTTGCTTGTACTGCAAACTTCAATCCTTAGATTCTGCTGGATTCTTTCAGCACCTTCATTCTTTTTTTTACTACCCTTGAAATAACTCATCTCTATTTCCTAGGGTCCACATCTACTGAACACCTGCCAAACTGATGACTTCTGTGTTTTGCTTTGAAGTAAAGAAACTCCAAAATGGTACCAATAAGTACTGCTAATTTTCTTTCAATTAATTTATTTAATAACATTCTCTGTTTAGGCAGCTGGTAAAATTTCCAACGTTTCCCTTCCTCCTTTCTACCCTCCCCATCCCCCGACATCAGGCAAAGTTTGCTTAGTTCTTCTCAAAATAAACTGTTCATAACACTTATTCGCAGTGTTTATTGCACTGTTCCCTTCACTGTCCTTTTAAAGAAATACTTCTTCACTACATGCGTGGCCTTCCTCTTTGGTTAGCCTAATCTATGGTTCTATCATGGGGCAGAGGGAGCATGCTCAGGCTCATGGGGCACCAACAAAATAGGCAAGCTTGCCTTTGGGGATAACAGACCACTCTTCTCTGCCCCACTGGGATGTGCACTGGGGAACTGGCTTTGTGGTCCAGCCTAAGATTGGGATTTTCAATTTCACATTGTTTAGCTCCCGTTAGCCCATCTCAGCCTTTAGCGAAAGTTTAATTGGAAAAAAAAACACAAAGGATTTAGAAAACCTTGAAATCACTTTCACTTTGAATGTCTTCTATCACCATGACAGAGCTTGCTTGAAAAACACGGGATGATGTCACTGAGATTCTCCTGGTGTCTGATCAACTGTCAGTAAAGATACTACAAATTAATCTTTCAACCTGCCCAGAACCAGGCACAATGGAGACAGTCCATTGTCTTTGTGACACAATTCCATTTTCTTAACTTGCTCCCATTTTCTCTTCCTTCTTTTTATCTCATGTCCTCGTCCTCCCTTCCTTTCCTGGCACAATTACATTTCAGTAGTGCAATGCAGTGCAGTCACGCTTAGTGCAAAAATAAAACACTCTATCCCAGACCAAAAGCACAGCCCCAAACAGCTCTTACTCAAGGATACCAGTGCCAACAAAGGAAGGAGATTTCAGTCTTCACCCAACATGTTTTGGGTTGTCTCTTTCATGGCCCTGTCTGTTTCTATTCAAAGGAGAATAGTAATAGCTAATGTATATCACCAGTCCTATTCTATAATATATTAAGCCCATGGGCAGAAAGTAAAGAGGAGCAGTCAAGTTGAAACCAAGGGTGCTAGAGGGAAACAGACATGAAATACAAAAGTCAGTAGTGGTTTTATGTAATGGTTTTCATCATGTCAAATGGCTCCCTTACAAAGGGGTATGAGCACAGAAAAAAGATAAAGCTCTCCTGTTCCCAAAAACACAGCTCTAAACTTAACAGTGACAGTTCTGATCTGATTTCTGAATAGTGCAATCAATTCTTCCTCAATGGCAACAGACAGCAGCCATCCCACACAACACAGATAAATACATCAATAGTCATCTTATCTCTCTTGACCATTCTCCCATTCCACTCCCTCTCTTAGTTTCTTCCCTACTCACTTTTTCTTTCTGTCTTTCTACACCAACATAGACGTACCCAGATACACACACACACACACACACACACACACACACACACACACACACATTCTCAAGGCCTCTTTTCTGGTAACAATTTGAAACTTGTTATAAGCAGTTCAATGTTACCAAAATAAAATCACAAGAAAAAAATTATAACAATTAAATATCAGATTAGATTATTAAGTTAAAATTAATCTGCAGTGCACTACTTCTTTTGTGGAAAACATTCATATTAAGACACCTTCCAGGGCTTACCCAAGCAAGAATTAGCTTGAATAGGGCAGAGGGCAGGGGGAGGGGAGAGAAGAGATCTGGAATATTCAGTGATTTTGGAGAATAGGTTTATAATGAACAGCCTTCAATAGTCCATTTCTGAAACCCTGCAGTAAAAAACAAGCTTTCTGTGCATTTTGGTGTTTATATGCCCAGTGCCTAACATAGTGCCTATCACAAGTAGGTGGTTAATAAGATTGTTGGATGAAAGACTAAATATTTCATCAAGGTCTGAATGTGAATCTGCTAGCATGTGTATATATGTGAACTATAGAAGTATATGTTGTGATCTAAAGGGAATCAGGAAGCTGTTTGCAAGCAGAGTAGTTATACGCCACAACAGCATATGGCCAAAGTACCTGGACAATTGAAAACCACAATGTTACCAATGATTCTTCCACACTGCCCTGTTTTCTGCCTTTGCTTGGCAAAATACTGATTACTAAAGGACAGGGCTTTCAACCACTTTTAAAACTCTAACTCCTCCAACAATAATACAAAGAATAATATAGGTTACATGTCTACCAACTGCCTCTTAATTTCTGTCCCACTGGGTCATTCAGGGATGGTTGGGACTGAAATGAATAAGATTAGAGAAGCTGGAACTAGTTCGCCCAAATCCTTAGGAATCTGGTGAGTGAATTTGGCAGACCTGACCCCCTCAAGAGGTTTTACCCCAGGAAGAGTGCAATCAGAGAGACTGGCTTTGTTTTCTAACATCTTCCCAGTTTTTGGTAACTCTTCAAAACCCTTTACAGTACATGGCTAAATATCATACCAACTTACTTCAGTCTTCTCTGTAGGTTGCTCCTGATATACAGACTCCTTATACAGTATGAGGAAATCAAAACATCACGCACAGTCATTTTTTTTTTTGGAGTTATGTAAAAAGCTAACTTCGTGTAGTGCTACTTATTTCCAAAGATCTGGTAGGCTTTGATAGGACTGAGGGATATCTTTAATCGCAGACATGCAAAGTTACCTCACCCATGTAATACTTACCATACTGACTGAATATAAAGTAAGGTTCTCTCTCATGGATAAAGTATTTGGATACAACTGAAATTGGCATTGGGGAATCCACTCAAATAATTTTATATTCCTCTGATTCTCTTTGTTTTTATGTCGCTAGGAACACTGAAACTTCAACTATGTTAAAAACCAAACTTGTTTTCATCTTTGTATGCCTATAGTCTAGTACAATGCCTCATATAAAGTCCATGATTAATAAATATTTGTTGAATCAAGGTAATGTTGAAAACCAGATTATGAATTTATAGAAGAAAAGATAAATCTGAAGTAACTGAAATATCTCAAAACACAGGAGTTTACTCATTTAAGGTCAAATTATAGCCTCAATGATTACTTTGAAGTTTTTTTAAGTGGCTTTTTACTTTTTTATATTTCCTGAATTTCTTGCATTAGGATTTAATTAGCATGGGAAGGAAATATTTGAAATCTATGTCCTGTGTGTGTAGTGCAAACCCCAGTCTCCCTCCTCAATAACTATCTACAGTTCTACAGCCCAGGACTTGTCAATTTTGGTTGCCTGAATTTTGCAAGGAAAGCTTTTTTTATTTTTCTTAGCTCAGTCTCAAACAATTTCTGAGAAAATCCTTTTTTTGCCCAGCAGCAAGTGCTGCTATGGAAAGAAACATGGGATTTTTGTTGATGCCTCAACTGTAGAATGGAAGGTTTAAACCATTAGAGCAATAAATGGCAAATGACAGGACATTGCAATATGAGTTCAGTGCCCACTGTAGTCAGTACTGAATCCCCAGATTTTAAAACTTTCAGTCACTTGAGAAGTGACAGAGAAAAAGAAAAAAGAACTGCCCAAATATTTGATAAAACACGTGGTCCATCAATTTTAAATCCTCTAGCAGGAAAACAAAAAGAAAAATTAAGGAAATAAAATTTTACCCCAATTAAGATTTATAGAGAGAGACAATAATTGTTTTTCTATGTAAAAGTGGTGTTTGCTGGCCTACTTTATTAGTTTCACTTTCTTTGAAGGAATTGCTTTCTGTGCACACATATTCTAAAAGACCAGTATGAAAAATAAACTGGCTTTATATCAGCCTCTTTTTTAGATTATTTTTAAGCCTATACTTGCAAACTCTAAAACTATTTATTAGTGAAATGAACTGCAGACTTTTTTGAAATGAACTGTCAAAAAAGCAAGTACATTATGAAGGGAAAAGGAAAAAGAAATCTACTCTACGAAATACAAACTATCTTGTTGATGAATGTTTTTCTTTCATTGCTATACAGTTACTGTTAAGGCCAAATGCTCCTGCTACTACCAATACAGTCAGCACCTAGGCAATCATAAAGTTACAGCTTGGAATTATGCCTCTTTCTAACAACGTAATCTAGACACTAATTTGAGAACATAACAGAGATTGTGATAAGAAAACCTGATTCTTAGTTCAGAGAGGAGTAGATAGACTAATTCCATTAACTTACTCTGAAGTAATTCTTCTCATCAGCTGGCTCAGTCAGGGCCCTATAAAAACAAAATCTTCTCTTATATGTATTACTTTCCAAGACAGATGCTTCTGTTTTTTGGATGACTGACAGGAAAGCTTTTTTATTTATTCAGAAGGGATGCCCTGTGAGAAAGACAGGTGTTTGGGTTCACAGTATAACACTGTGTGTGAAGGGAGGAAGAAGGGAGAAGGTCTTGGTTTCATCATCGTGTCAAGAGTGGTAGATTATAAGGCCACAAAAATAAGGAAAATGGTGAATTATCTGTTGCTGTGTGGTTCTTTGGATTGTGGCAGCAAAACTCTTCTATTAATCCCCTTCTATACCTCTTTGCAGGTTAAGTGTATAAACTGGTTTGATGAAAAAAAAATCTGTCTCAAGCTTCAGAACAAAAGCAGAAACGTTTATGAAATTCAAAGAAAGTCTGATTGCCTGCAAACACCTCCAGCACTTCCTCCATCCCACTATTCTTTCTTTTTGGACTTTCTGGTTTTTATTTGGAAAAAAAATAGAGCCTCTTAGTCTGTTCAAAATCATGCAGTGCAGTCATACACACTCACATACATATACAAACATACACACAGGGAAAATCATTATGAAATTTGAGAGTCAGAATGGTATAGTTCAGGAAAGAATCCTAGATTAGTCAGAAGTCCTGCATTCTAATCCCATCTCTGGCTCAAAATATCTTGATACTTTAGGAAGATCATTCAATCTCTCTGAGCTTCAGTTTTCTCATCTGCAAAAGGGGATCATCACACTTGTTCCACGTGCTGTTTGTGGGGAAAAGGAGACAATATTTGCCGAGTGCTTTGCAATCATCGAAGTACTCTAAAAACATTAACAATTATCTATTACAAGCACTTTGAAATCTGTAAAATGCTATGTAGCTGGATCATGGTTATATGGACCAGAGAGCTGGGGATCACTGGTAAAAGCTTGACTTGGATGATTAAACTCTGTAATAATGGCCCAGATAGTGTTCAATTATGAGGGTGGGGCAGATCGTGGGACTTCTCAGGTTTTCTTACAATTCTAGGACTATCAGCTTTTGAGTTGGGGTTGAGGCTCATGTCTGGGTGCAAATTAGGCACTTTGGGAGGCTGCAAGAACATTTTTGTTTGTCAGTTAATTACTGCTCCAGTTCAAAACAAGCCTTCTGTAGCATGGAAGAGTTGTATCCTCCTAAAATGTATTTGATTACTGATGGCTTGTTTAGAAAGGGCTTATAGAGGCTTAAGATTGATCAAGACCATTTTGGAATACAAATCTTATTACCTTCATGAAGTTAACTTGTGGAAACCCATTAGCTGTGGAAGGTTTCATTTAGTTAGGGAAAAAGAGCAGGAGCTGAAATCTCCAATAATGATTACAACCATAATAAACATAGTCATTTTTCTCTCTTAGAAATGGTCTCTTGTCACCTAGTGAATTTGTATTTTATTTAAAGGAAAAAAAGGAATTTCTTTCCCTTTTGACTATGAGGATGAAAAGGAATGAATGATCTAAGCTAGCTCATCTGACATTTTCAAACGTGATCAAGATCTTCCCACTCTCAAAATAATATTGATAAATTCAAATCTAAAGATAGCATTTAGATAATATTCACCATGCCTCCAATTTGAAGCTTACCTGCAGCCCACTCACCTCAAAGTGCTTTTAGTTTAATGGAAGCTAAAGGTGGCATAAAAATGAACAGGAGTAGAGAAAATAAGCATTTAGGGTTACTGATTGATTAATACTTCAACAGCATTAAGATTTTTTTTTCCCTAATGGATGTTCTAGGAAAGTAAATTATTCCTAGACACAGCAGATACAAGTTAAGGAAGTAACAACAAGAAAGAAAAAAAGTGAAACAGATTTGGAATTCTTCCATTGTCCTCAGTACTTAGCACCCCAAGCACGAAAGTTTTAAAACTCAGGTGGGATGAAGAAAGATGAAGATGGCTTTGAGGAGAGCCAGAAAGTGAAATTAGAAAATTAAAAACTGTCTGAAAGGAGGAAAGAACTGGGATTATTCTTTCAGAAAGGAGATGAGGCTGAGGGAATTTTACAGGTACGATAACCAGCTAATTTTAACTGCCACTGAAGCACAAGAAGATGATATTAAATGACATCACATGGGGCCTCACATAGGCACAAGATTTTTCTGAAAATGAAAACTGTTAGACACTCGATTTGGTTTCTGAGGGAGTGAATCATGGGGCCTTTTGGTGTAGAAATCTTTAAGTAAACCCGCTCTGTTTGGGCAGGAACATGGACTATATGCTTTCTGAAGGTGCCATCCAGTTTTAGTATTCTATATATAATGTACGATGAAAGGAAGCAGTTCTTTACTGTCAAATGCAAAGGGGAAATTGTGGGCCACGTTTTATGGATTCTATTTTTTGGATTTTACGGATTCTATTGGCTGAAGAAATGTACTAGATAAACTGGAGCACGAGGCTCAAATACTATCTCACCCATAATTTGGAAAAGTCATTTAAATCCCTTGCTTCCATTTTTCTTCGGCAAACTGGAACTTCAGATTGCCGACCTACCTCATGGGGAGATTTTGAAGAAGGGTTACTTAAAATGACTATAAGCATCTGAAAATGCAGCTCCTTAAAGAACCATTATCACAATCAATCTTTGCAAATACAAATGGGACAACTAGGCATGTCACTGACTATATACTTCATAAAACAGAGGCCTTTGGAAACAGCATTTAATGGAATAGCTCTTCTTGGTCAGATTATATAATGAAGAACTAGTTTCTTGACTGGGATTTTTAAGGAAAATAAATGGATATGAAAGAGAGGGGAGATCACAGGTATTTTACACACACACACACACACACACACACACACACACACACACACACACTTCTTTTGTTCTTCAGAAACTGAGAGGGTCAGCTCAACAGGCTTTTTCATGAACATGATCCCCTTCGGTACTAGCCTAATACTATGTTTCCAAAAAAAAGTTTTCACTTTCCTATGTTTTGCTAAAATTCTGATCTTAAAAAAATTCTAAAAACCTGTATAGACAATACTGAAGCTGATAATAATATAAAAAACCAAACTAGAGCCAGTAACAATTATTAAATGCACCAAATTAACTGCAGCAGGTTGGTGATGAATGATAAATGCAAAGAAGTGTTTGTCTATCAACTCATGATCATAGGCATATTCAAAAGTTAAAATGAATATACTGTAATATATATATTTTGATATAGAGTTGTTATATATAATGTGTAAGTTCTAGGTTTCAGAAATACTGCAATGTAGTGTACTGTACTTAAGCATAGCTAAATAGTAACTCATCTTCTTCCACAAAGTCACTAGTACTGTTAATAATAATTAAAAAAAATCTGTTATATTTTTTCCAGTAAAAAGAAATACCTATGGTTACAGTCACAGACTTCTGGATATAGAAAGACAATATACATTTTAACAACAACAACAAAAAGCTGCAACCATATGTAGCCTTATTTAATAAGAAAGGGGAACAGTCACCAAAAAAAGAAAAAAAAAAGAAGAAAGAAAATACTCTCTGGATTCTGTAAAACAAAAATAATCTACGTGTCATAAAAATAAACTATCTAGTAAGTGAAGAACACAGGAGTGAGAAAACTGGTACCTACTGCTTCCAGGCCACATGCTTTGGAAGTCAACTACCCAAGATGGGACAGTGTAACAAACCAGGATGGCATCCTATTTTAAAGACTGACATATGCATGGGCTATCCATATATACTACTCTCAGAGATTACAGAACCCCTTTCCCTGACAGTCCATTAGTCTATCAGACACAGTAAACGACTCACTCCTGGAAAGACTTTGGCAAAGGCCACACTGGTTTCAGGAGACACAGATTGTGGATTACTACAATTCACTGCAGATGCCAGAGGCATCAGTAGGTTTTAGTTTGGGAACATAGTGTGTGTGTGTGTGTGTGTGTGTGTGTGTGTGTGTGTACATACACACACGCACACACATGTACACACAGAGGAAACGGACAGGTCATATTTTAGACATGGGGTGGCTTGGTCCCACGTGTCACAGGCCTTCCCTGCCTGGTTCTCTCTTTCACTCCCATACTCCTTAGGGCTGCTCATTCCTTGTTGGTCTGCCAACTTAATACTTCTGTTCCACTTTCCCCTGAAGGAAACAGCCTGTTACTGTGGGTTTTCTGTAGCTCCAACAAGCTGCCTTTGTTTCTCCCATCTCCCACAGCTTTACAAAAGCCAACAGAAGAAGCAGGTGATTGTTGTTTCCTTGGAAAGGACCACAGCACAAATATTCACAAGCTGGTGAACAGTGTTATCTGTGCGCATGCACGTGCACGTGTGTGTGCGTGGGGGTGAGCAGAACAGTTCTGGAAGCCTGGAGGGGGCTCCCTACCTCCTGAAGGTGCACTACAACCATTCCGTAACCTCTAGCCTTGTGCCTCTGCATGTGCCACACAAATACACAGATGACAAGTGTACACACACATAAACACGGGAAAGAGAAAGACCTTGGGGGAAATGTATGATTTCAGTGAAGTGCCATTGAACCACTTCACATGAAAACATTCAAGTTTCTTATGACCAAAATACATATGACTGTACTATATACTTTCCATGGTTTGGGCTTCTTCCAAGTACCACAAAGCATCATCGGGGACATTGGACAGCACTGTTGCTGCTTGCTAAGGCAAATGAGCAGAAGCATTCTTAGATCTGTGAGACCTCTGCCTCATAATTAGAGATTTCAGAGTATGTTTGGTTGTTACTACGGAGCAGGAAAGTGGAATACAGTTTATTACTAAAAGCACCATACAATGGTAGGGTATATGTACCAGGTACACTCAATTATAAACATTCCTTGACAGCAGTTGTGACATATTGGAGTGAGTAAAATCTTACTTTTAATTAGAATCTATATATGAAGTACAATTACTTTCCTGGCCTATAATGAATTCTTACTCCAGTAGAAAGAGAGACATATAAACTGGGGAGCCAGGGGGCCCAGGTTTAGGCCCTGGCTCTGATATTAACTGGCCGTGTGACCTTGGACAAGTGATCTACCCATTAGGCCCCAGTTTTCTTATCTATAAAATAATGGGGTTGGGTTAGGTGCTTTCTAAAGTCCTTTAGAGCTTTGAAATTTTATAGGTCTTATACTTAGTTCATTTACTCTGTGTATTCAATAGATTTAGGATCTTTGTGAGGCATTTTTGAACAAAGAGAGCCTCTACATCTGAAATAAGGTTGCCGGGGACTTTTATAGCCTAGTTGAGATAAATACTTATTAACACCAGGCTTGGTCTACTCCAGAGCAGGGATTCCTTATCTTTCACATAGGGCCTGCAGCTCAAGCCATTCCATCACTGATTTAAGAATAATGGGTTTTTGCTTTTAAAACAGAGTCACTGACTAAAGTTTGAGGGGCACCAAAAATGAGATGGGTAACATTCAAAATTATATGCTGCATGGGACACTGCAGCTTTTTATTAGGATTTATTTCTTTTTAAAAGAGGCATTGAGCAAAGTTGGCTTTTGAGAGGCATGTTTTGATTTTTGTTTTATAGAGAGATAATATTCAGATCAACTCTCAGACTTCTACCTTGAACCTGCATTATCATTGACACAGAACAGATGGACCCTCCTCTAATTCTTATAAAGAGCTAATATTCAGACCACCAACCAAACTTTTTTTCTATCTTGAACCTGCACTATCATCACTGACGTAGGTGAGATGAATTCTTCCCCAAACCAGCACGTGCAGAGCAATTACAACTACTTCCTGCAGGCTTGATACCCTTAGCAGTTTTTTGCCTCTTGTGCATTTCTTCACCCTCTGGTCTGCGGCATTAGTCTTACATTCCAGAATAATGATATTTTATAACAACGAAAGGTTAAAAAGAAACAAATGCTAACTCCCTCCTTTTACCTCACCCCAAACAGTCCCCAACTTCTATCTTCAGTTCTCTGTCACAGGACTTTCTGGCTTAAGGTGACAACCCTATGCTGTGTCAGATTTTTGAGAAGACATTCTAATTAAAGTCACTTCAACCTGGGCTTCGGAATCAAAACAGCTATCTTTTATAACAACTCAGGGATGCTAAAGAAAGCTCTGGCATGGAAGAACATTTCATTGGGTAAGGATATAGGTTCTATTTAGTTCAATCCAGTGCTATGCTATTCTTCCTTCTGAATATGAAGTGATCTCACTCAGGAAGGGAAAGACCTCATAATAAAATCATTGGCAATGGCCCTGCTACCATAACAAATGAACAAAAACAATGTAATCCACTACAAAAACCCAAGCTCTAGGACCTGCTGTTGTTGCACATGGGCAGATAGAGATACAATCCGGCTTCTGGAAATGGATATGATGTTCAATTTCAAATTAAAACATTTCTTCTGAGATCTTAAAAACAAACTCATTTTACCATCCAGTGATTAGAAACCATGCTTTGGGTAGGTCATATTTTTTATGGGCAGTGTTTGCATGAGTGCTGAGTTGCTAAAGCTTTTACTTACTTGTGGAAATACAGGCAATGTCAGAACTGTCACATCTATACTTGGGAATCTCAACATGCCCTGAACTCTTGAACAGTGCTATTCCCAGTCAGGATTATATCCTCCTTCTTGCCTAAGCACCAGGGTGGAGATTGGCTTTTGAAAGCTTGCACCAAATAAAACTGTTTTCCTGGGAACCAGGAAAAAACAGCTATTTTCTTTAAAGAAACTGAAGAAAGAAGGGGAGGTGGCTATATTTCCAGACAGATGTCTAGCCATATAGGATTTGTTGCTGCAACAACCGGTAAACTCAGGGGACCAGTTCAGAACTTTGGAGATAAGGTCTACTTTGAATTTCTTTACTGCCTCTTTAAAGTTCCATCTGAATGAATGTATGTCCTGGGTCTGTTCCTCTGTCTTATTCCCTTCCCTCCTCCTTTCAGTACAATTCTTTTCAGGTGAGTAAGGTGGCTTTTCAGAGCCAGAAGACACCTAATAAAAATCTACTACATCTGGAAATGCCAAGAGATCTTTTTAAGGACTTTCTGTCAAACTTTCCAGTTCTTTCCGTGGAGAGTTAGTCTTTCTTTCTGGCCTCTACAGAATAAAAGGTTGAATTATTTCTGGACGTTGCCTACATTTTGAGACATCTTTAATCCCTGTTCCATCACCCCATCTCTCAACTTGTTGCTAACTTAAAAAAATCTATTACAAAATTTGTCTTATGAGCCAGATCTCCACCAGAAAGTAGGCCTCCTTGGTCTCCCTATTCTCACTACATTCCAAATGGATTCCTGTAAAAAAAAAGCTAGAGCAACATTGTCTTGTTGCTATCTGCTTTGGGTATATATAGCAGAAGTGATTTGGTACCTTCTCTGCAGAATTCCATCTGTTTTACAATCCTTAAAACAGTAAAGGGAAAGACCTGGGCAGGCAGTGATCACTTAGATTGAAATCCTGGGCAGAGAATCTTTCTTTCTTAAATCAGGGGCTGGAAACATTATGAAGCCTTCAATGAGTAGCCACCTTGACCATTACAAAGACTGCTTGGTAATATGAAGGAGTTTGTTAAGGGTAGGTAGGGCAGGCTTCATTTCTTCTCAGAGAAGGGAGACCATAGATTGTGGGATGGGGTAGGGGACCTGAGGGCACTTGGTAGGAGAGGCTGGTCAGACTGTAGTGCAAATAGATAGAGGCATTAGTATGTAAAACTCAAGTATGGGCCTGTCAAAGATTTCTTATGGCATCACCACATTTCCACTAACTAGGAAAGGATTTATTCTTTACCCTCAAGCAGGACAGAGGGGATTAGAAATAAAATACTGGTAACTTTTAAATTAGGTAAATCATTCAAGCCCCAAATCTTATAGAACAGGGAGGGAGCTGCTGTGGTGCTAACATGGGGAGAGAGAGAGGAAAGACCGTCTTTTAGTTGTATGTATACAAGTATATATACTTAAGAGGCCATGCTGAAGAAGGAAAGAAGTTATAGGGCCCAAAGTTTCAAATTTAGTTAAAATAAATAAGAAAAAAAGTTAGTAGTCATTTCAATAGGCATTTGAGTCTACTTAAGGTACCTTTAGGCTCATTCCATAAATTCTTCCTCATAAGTAGATTTGTATTAAATCCCTTTTCAAGTTCTCTTTCCTAGTAAAGACCCACCTATGCATGTTTGGACTACACATTTTGGACTATTTGGGGTATGTTTATCCAAGTATTAGCAATTATTTGTAAAGGAAATGATCCAGTGTTATTTTGATGAACCAGCTTTTGTTTGTAGTGATTGGAAGTGCTAATCTTTACAAAACGCATCTACCACCCTCTTTTTCTTGCTGGGAGAATTTAGCTATTGTCAGATTCGATCATTAAAAAAAAAAAAAGAAAAGAAAAGAAGAGAAAAAAGAAAGTGTGGTTTTTCTTCCCACATAGGCTCTGGCTTTCTGTACCCGATCAAAAGGAACCTTAATCTGTCGGATCCAGTCCCAGGTAAGTTCTTGATTTTACTGGCTAAGGAAAAAACCAAAAGGTCCCTGGTACTTCATAGTCCATTGATGGATGTGACGCACTAAGACAAGAGGGTTAGTTGTTTGGAACAAAATTAAAGAACTAAAAGGCCTTTCCTCATCAGGTTTTTTGCTTTTGCTGCAGTCTTCCTCTCTCTCCAACTCTGAGGTTGTTTCAAAAGTTCAGGATTGCCTCTAACCACAAGCAGTTTCATTCTTGAGCAGAATGTTTGGTTTTTTATAATCTGAATCCATTTGGGAGGCAGCTTATTTAAGAAGTTAGTTCAGTAAGGTACTGTACCCAAAGTATCCTTTATCTTCCCAAAAAACAAAGATCTGCTGTTCAAGTACATGCCCCCTCTTTCATGGGGAGGGCACTGGTTAGTGTAGAATAGGAGAAGTTTTGGAGAAGACGTTCACTAGGAACCTACATCTGTAAAAGTATAAAGATGGTGCACTGCCTCCTATCTACCAACTGATCCACTCAACATCCATGACCTATGGGGTATCACCCCACTGAGAACTCTGAGGGCATCTTCTGGTTTATTCCTTTTTTAAAAAAAGAGATGGGGAAGGTTGAACATTTGGGACTTCATGCATGAGCAGAAACTCTAGGTACATTTTGAACTATCTGCTTAACTTTATAATATGGCAAATTAGTCTTCTCAATGGGTTTTCTTTAAATTTGAGAAGCTGAGGGTCGAATCATGGCCTGAAACCAGGTAGTTCTCTACGGGAAAGAATGTTGTTTCTATATTCATCATTGTGATTAGAGTAGAGGCGCGGTTTTAAATGGGCCATTATCAAATGTGATGCAAATGTTTAAAGAGACCTTTTTGCACACTTTTGTTTATAACCTGTGCTGAGTAACTTCACGGCCCCTTCTCTTCTAGGTATTGTACTTTCTTAATTTGTCAGTCTCTTTTAATCTCATGGTCTAAATGATTCTTCAAAATATCAACATAATTTATTATTTAACTTATATTCCCTCTGTTGGCAGTAAGCAAAAAATATAAAGGGTCATATGTTAAAATGACATTTTTAATTATTGATTAAATAGAGACATTTCCTTCCTGGTAAAGTCTGAGGCAGTTTCTATTATTATTTAAATAAAGTGGAATTTTACATGGACTTGACAGTAGTCCACCTTCTAAGGACCAATGGGGACCCAAGTCTACAGTCATGCCTTAAGCTAACTGCCCACTGAATTTATACAGACTGCAGAGTTGGAATGGATGTCATTCATACTGCAGGTGCTCCAAGAAACACCTTTGGGGGAAACATCCAGGGTACCAAATGTTAAAAATGTATAAATAAAATTAATTTAGTCATTATAGAATTGCCTTTCAGAAGATTTTTCTTAGGTAGGCTACTGAATTTTTGTAAATAAAATATTTGGGCATGAACACTTGAAGGAAAGCTGAATGAAAATACAAAGAGGTTTTGAAACTCTAAGGCCCTATGAAGACTCTCTTACTCTGTCTCTACATAATTTGGTTTAGTGCTTCTACTTTGCCTAAAGACCTACTTTTCCTTAAGGATGCTCTATCATGCCCAGCAATGGAACCACTGAAAGTTTCAGTTTGGTTTAAGAATTACTATGTTTGAATTGAAATTCCTTCATTATAATGATTCACAAATGGGAAACCTCTACCACAAAATTTCTCTAAGCAGAGAGGAAAGAAATCCTAGCTAGAAGTAAAAAGTGGTATATGGTGCTATGTAACTGAATGGAAATCATTCAGCACAGTGGATGGGAGGAAGTTTCCACAGTCTTCCTGGATTACTCCCAAAGAGCTGGGTCTTATGAAAGACAACAGCATTTAGTTTGTGATCTTTTTTGCTTGACAGCCTCAATTAGTGGGAATAATGAAATAGTGACATTTAGAGGGGAGAAAGGTCATTTTGGCATTGATGCTTCTCGGTGTGGGATAGGGTTCTTCCAGTAATGTTTTCATGAGCTTCCTCTCAATAGGGATGAGATCTCTGGAGAAGGGAAGAGATAGGAGAAGACTGCGAACTCCTCCCAGATGACCACCAAGAAAAAAAAAAAGAAAGAAACAGAGGAAATTTCAAATGTTTAAGTACTCTAAACCATCTGAGTCTAATAAAGGAAAAGAGGAAAAAATGACTAGAAACTCTAGAATGACAAAATCTCAGTGAACTTTTGGAGAAGTCTTTCTGAACAAATGAACTCCCTTTCCAGAAAAGAAAAGAATTCTAGATAGAACAATTGAAAACAAAACAAAACAAAACAAAACTGTGGAGCATCTTTAGTTTGCTATAAGTCAAAGGAGAATTACACATCAACATACAAAGCAGCAGTTCAAATAACAGCAGGGGCGGCTGGCCACAAAGGGCCCTCATCAACCCAGGCAATACTTAAAATAATAAAAATGAAGAAAAATTTTTTTTAAAAAGGTGAAAAAAAAATCCTTCCTCACTGTCTTTCAAATACCTTTAGTTGCCTTTTTTCCTTTCTATCCAGAAGCAGTTTAGCTAACCCTAACAGTCTTGATTTACAAAAAAAAAGAAAGAAAAAAATTATATATATATATATTTATAATATGAGAAATAAAAGAGAAGGGATTAGTGGCAGTGTATGCAAAACCAAAATGAAAAAAAAACCCAAATTACTTTTAACAATCTCACTTTTTTTTGTTTTCTTTTTTACACAAATACTGTTGTAAATATATTAAAAAAATCAGCATTCTATCTGGTAAACGTCACTTTTGCCCCTCTATAAAATTTTGAATTAAAAAAGTCTCAAGAACTCTTATTATTCCCCCTCCCTCCATTTCTTTCTTTTCCTCCTCCACAAGAATATATCCTGACACAACTTTTTTTTTTTGCAAAGATTGTGGGAAATAATCCTTCTCTTGTACCTAGAATGATAGGTGCAAACCTCTGATATCTTTGTTTTATTTATATTCCTGACTTTCATGAAAGTCCCTTTTGATTGTGCTGAGGCCCTGGCTCAGCGAAGAAGACACACAGAATAAATACGATAGCCACTGGTGCTTGTTGGCTGTCCAAGTCTTCCTGGCTTCTGCTGAAAGGGGGGGATGGAGAGGAGGGCCAAGGATCGTGGACTGGAGTAGCATCCAGGAGGAGAGCCTGTAATCGGCCTTTCCCACCCTGCAGAGATTCCCACACCACCCAACCCACACTCCCTTCCCACCCCCACAGCCCTTTTGTGAAAGCAGACAATGTGGTGGCTGGAAACCAGCAGGGCCTTTTCTCTGGGGTTTCAAAACCAGAAGTGATATTCCACAGTTTTAACTGGATACTGTGAAGTCCAAACGGCCAGAATTATGAAAATGTCCTCTGAAACACTGCAAGCGGTGTACTTAAAGACAGTAGGCCTTTTAGATTTTGTTATATTTTTTTTGTAGTGCTCTTCACAAGTGAAAAAAAATTTTTTTTAATTTTTTAAAAAATTTTTTGTAAAGAAGGGTTGTATTTAGAGGCCAGTAGCTAGAGATCCAACCAGTGGACCTCCTGAAGCACTACCGGGCCTTAAGGCCACCATCCAAGGGAGATTGGGAAAACTATTATTCACCCAGCCTCCGGAAATGTAATGTACCAGCAGGCAAAAAACAGTTCTTCATGTAGTAGAAAATGAAACGAAACAAAAACAAAAACAAAAACAAAAAAAGTAAAAATGAAACCAAAACATTTCTTAAATTCTAGTGCCATAGCTTTTTTTTTGTTTGTTTTGTTTTGTTTTGTTTTGTTTGTAAGAAAGAGAGAAAGATACTACTTATCCATCAGACACATGCATCCTCATGTGGTCGTTGAAGTGCTCGATTTGGTCAAACTTAGCTGGGCAGACGGAGCAGACGTAAGTGGTCCCCTCCGTGCAGGCCACCACCCCGGGGGGGCCGGCTCTGGAACCGGGACCCGTGCCAGTGGGCGGGGTGCCATTGCTGGCGCTGTGCAGGGCCACGTGGCGCTCTAGCAGGGTCTTGTGGGAGAACTTCTTCTTGCAGATATAGCACTCGTAGGACTTCTCCCCTCGGTGGAGCCGCATGTGGACGTTGAGGGAGCTCTTCTGGGTGAAGCGTTTGTTGCAGATACTGCACTGGTAGGCCCTCACGCCTGTGTGTGTCACCATGTGCTTGATAAGGTAATCCTTTAAGGAGAAGGAACGCCAACAGATGCTGCATTGGTGGGGCTTCTCACCTGTCCATTTGAGAAGAGACAGCAAGCAAGCAAGAGAGAGCGAGACAGAGCAGGAGAGGAAGAAAATGAGAGAAAAGAACCATAAAAATAAGTTTACTCTGCCCCCCCCAAAACCCCCATCTAGATTGTTTAAGGACATCCTTTAGTTGGCAAGGTCGGATCCCTTCCTGTCCAGAGAAAGCTTTTGTTAAAATGCACTCATTTTCTGGTAGGTTTAGCATTTTACAATTCCTTGTCCAGAATATCTCTTTTAATTGAAAACTATAAGGTAACCTCTTGCAGATAGATTTCAAAGGTTGACCTATAGCTAAAAAACAAAATAAAAGAAACAACAACAACAACTAAAGAGAAGATTTCTTAAGAGGACTTATTTTCAGTACACTCGACTTAACTGGGTGATTTCCATGAACACTTATTAAAAACTCTAAATATGAAGGAGGGGGAAAAATCTAGAGGAAAAGCATGGCTATCTGAAGTGTTCAAGGAAAGAGTCACTTTGGATATCTGACATTTTCCAGATAGATGTGGGCACCTTCTTTAGAACCAAAACATTATTTTGACTGTGCTGACAGAAATCTTTCTAAAAATGCATTATATACATCGTTGACTTATTAACAAAGACATTGATAATAATTTAACATAAATTGGCAGATTTTTTTTAATGACCACAGGTTTTTAGGCTTGAAGGGGTGATACAAATGAGACTCAGAGTACCTAGCTCTCAGGTAAGGCTGTTTGCCTTGATATGAAATAGCTGCAGTTTTCTGTAGTTTGTGTCTTCTTTCTTCCCTCCCTGCTAGTCTTCTAGTCTTGTTGGGTTTGAAAGTGGGCTTTCAATTTCAATGGTGAGGAACTTTACCCTTGCAGATCAGTATGTTCTCTGAAACTTGAATGCCAAATATACAATGCACTCCACTCCCTTCTCCCCTCCCACATTGAGTTCCTCTATCTCTTTAAGCTGAGGCTCAATACTCTTATTTGCCTGAAAGCTTGCCAGATCCCCTTCTTAAATGCTGAGTACCCTGCCTCCCACACCACCTTGCAGTCAAATAAACCATGTATGCATTCATATATATTGACTGTGTGTTTATGCTACCTGTATTTTCATCTCTACTTGCTGTCTTCCATCATCAAAATGTGGCTCCTTGTGGCCAGGGGTTGTTTCTACTCTTTGCACTTGGATCTTCAGCATCTATCACAGCAGACACTTAATAAATACTTGATTAATTGGTTGATTTGCCCAGACTCACACAGCCAGTATATGGTAGAGTCAAGATCCTAACCCAGGTCTTCCTGACTGAGGCCAGCTCTCTGGCCACACGATGGGGCTGTGGGATCCTTAGCTATCACTTTTCAAAGCCGTCAACATTTCTATATTCAGGAGTTCCCTCTTCCCTTCCCGTTCTGATGTTTCTAATCTTTTTTGGTCTTAGAAATCAAATAACCAAACAAGTTAGAATTACACATAAGAATAAGGGTATGGTGCACTTTTCATGAGTAAAGCCTATGAGCTTGGCATGGACTTTGGATGCTTATAGGCCCCCTTCTGGGGCAGAGGTTTATTTACTTCTTGGTTTTCAGTTATGTTCTAGATAGATAAGGTACATTAAACGACTTCTACTTTGCATCTGCTGCCCTGCCTGGTTTTAACTCCATGGAACAAGCTGCCCTCCAGGATAAGTTCATCACTTCTAAATTCACTACTACTCAAGCCTCTTTCAGTCTTTTCTCTTCTCTGTTTGGAGGGCTGAAGTGGGGAGGATCAAATTCCTCTCAGATCCTTCCTTTATGGAGGGCAGAAACTGGACTCTCAACTCAGTCCACTTTACATCTTTTGCTTTGCCTGGTTTCAGCTCCATACAACAAGATGCCCTTGGTGTTTCCCTCTCCATCCCTCCATCCATCTCCGCACCCCCCTTTTGTAGGTGGTCTCCCTCTTTTGATTTGTAAGCTTTCTGTGGGCAGCTTTTATGAATTGTATAATTGCTTAGCACAGTGTCTGGCATATAGTGGCCACTTAAATGTTTATTGTATGGGGGTGGAATGATTTAGTCCACAATCCTTCCCAATGATAGCTATCCAGGAAGCACATCCACAGTAGATATTTCAGTTTCACAACTTCCAGCATTTCTTCTAAATGTTTGAGTCTTCCGTTAACTCCTCTGGGAATACAATTCCACCATCTATTCTAAACATCAAAGGCAAGACATTTACTCTTAAATTCAGCCTATATTCTAAGGCACTCTTAATGAATAAATTCCATGGCTGAACTTTTTTTGAGAATTTTGAGAACTTGAGAATGCTTTGTAAAAATGACAATTTTTAAAAATGAAAGACTTCTTCAAGAAGAAGTTAATTGTTTTTCTGAGATATTTGGTGGTTTCTAGGTGGAACTCATTCAAATAATTTTTAAACAATTTTAGCCATCCTTTAATTTTTTTAGTTCAACTGCTGCTAAATGTTTTGGCCTCTCATCTTTTTATCTCCACAAATTTCTTTTCCTCCTGCCCCCTGTTTACAAGCCTGAACTCTACTAGCTAAAATGAAATAGGGTTAAAAGAAGTCTTTAAAAAAATTCAATGGGCTTGAGAACTTTAAAAAGCTCTACTAACCTTAGTGCTTTTTCAGCTTGGTGACCAAGCACCATCTCTTGCTTAAAGAGTTAGGGATAGTGCAACTTTGAGCCATGTCTACTTAGGCAGGTATTTTTGGAAGAGACAGTTTTACTTTTCCTCAAGATGTTTTACCTAAAACTACCAAAGATCACTGAGTGGTGCAGGGGATAAAGGGTTGGGCCTGGAGTTAGGAAGTTAGGAAGACCCAAGTTCAAATCTGGCCTCAGGTATACATCTGCACTGACAGGAGTTTCCTATGCCAAGGAAAATCACAAGTCCAGGCCCCCCACAAAAATTTACCTGAAAAAGCCATTGGATGGAGGGAGTGGAACTTTTCTAATCATAGTCCAAAATAATGGAGAAATGTGAAAATGGTGCTAGAATGATTTTCCAGGTGTATGACTAAAAGGGAGATTAAGTTGGCTGTATTATGAAGAACCACAAAATACATTTGAGACACTCATGACTTGCTGTGGGGAGAAAGCCCAAAGAATTGAGCACCTAAACTTTGAAAATAAGTCTTCTATCAAATATTTGGCATGATAGAGGGATGCAGAGGTATGGTTTATCCAAAAGGCAAAAGACATTCAGGTTTGACCTTAAAATGTGTCATGTGATTTTTTTTTGATAGTAGACTAATTACATTTGACTTAGATTAGTATATGTCTACATTTCTTGGTGGAAGAAAACCGTCAATAAATGATCTGGGTTTTAGGAGAAAGCCAACCTGGGATTAAAAAGGCTGCTTCAAATAATCCACAAAGTAGATAATCTCCATGC